TGTGTATTTCCTGTATCTTTTCATTAGAAAATATATTAACGTAAATTTTTTGTCCCATGCTCAAATGAAACAAATAATTGAACCTGTCCAGTTGACATTTTGTCCTGTTCTCTTCTTTCTTGCTGAATTTGGTACAGACAGTAGGGAAATTTCTGGAAGCAGAATCAATAGTTTTTCTTGGTTACTTGGTGTTTGAAATTTGGCTTATTACGTAGCATATATACATATAATGAAATGAGTATTCATCCTTGTCTCACTCAACATTTATTGCAGGTTGTGGTGCTTGTCTGCCATCAAAACACATTATCTTGTCTGAGTCAGCTCTGTTGGGATAATGTTCTTCGCATCCTCAAACTATGACGGTTTCTTTAATAAATATCTTTGTCAAGACTACCAATCAACATTTGCTTCTGGGGTGGCAAACTGATTGTTTTGAACTCATGCCATAGTTTTCACTAATAGTTTTCAAATCATGTTGTTACTGTGCACAAAAGATATAAACTTAGATAGGACTAAACGGGACTCGTGCATTTCATTCTCATCTCTGCATAGCTCTATGTTCAAGATTACTTTTGGGATATCAAGCAACACAGGAACTGAATTGATTGTAAGCATATATAAGGAGGATCAATTGTGCACAAACATAAAATTTACTTCTTAAATTGTATGCATCTCCTTCTTTACTAACATGTACTGAAAAAAAAAATGTGGAGAAAAGATAAGTTTACCGGTATATCTTGAGCAGGATCTCCTTCAACGCTGGGGAGGCTCGATCAAGAGATGACATTATGAAGAAAATTGAAGAAGCTGCGAAAACTCCCTGGTTCAATTCTGTAGCAAAGTGAAGTGAGATGTCTAGAGAATTTAAACCGTCAAGTACTTGCAAAGCTATGGAGTTTGGAGTAAAATGTAAGTCCTATATAGCAATCAATGTTTGGTGAAGTTAAAAGCAAGTACCCACCACTCTTCTTATCTTTTTCTCTACTTGTCTTTTTTCTTCACTTGTTTGTTAAGTATGCCCAAATGGATCCCCTGTCAATGTCTGTGTTGTTGGATTTTGGCTTTGCTTGTGTGAAAAATGAAGATGATTACTCAAAATTGACATATACATGTGTCTGTGTCTGTGTCTGTGTGTGTATATATATATAGGTGTGTAAAAAACAACCGTAAGGGACTTGATTTTTGAAATAATTCCTAGCAGAAAGGAGAGAAACAGAAACTTTGTAGAATCATATTTGGTTGTGTTAAGTTTCATAATCTTCTTCAGAAGAATTTCTTGTGCAAAGTTGATGGGTTTATTAGTTAATACAATTTATGGATAAATATGGAAATATCATGCTCGATTTTTTATGATATATATTTTTTAAAAAAAGTTATAATAATCCACTAATCATTATATGAAAAGTTTCTAAGTAAATCTTAAAAATAATTAATGATACTAATTAGTTTCAATAATAAATAATTGAATAAAAAGAATTTAAAGAAGCTTAGAGGAATCTTCTAATTCCAATTGAGCTTTTATTAAATGGCTTAGTTTTAATTGGGTAATGTCTTAAAAGTTTAATCAATGTTGGATTAAATTATTTTACACCTAATATATAATAATCTAATGGGTTTAGTTTAGACAACTATATGTAATTCTAAATTTTTTAATTATCAGTCAATATAATTACGGCAGGTAATTAGGCAGATATTCTTAAACATTAGATTAAAGATAACATTAAATTAGTTCGGCTAGTTCCGTCAGTTAAATTTTCTTTTACAATTAAATTTTCTTAAAGTATTATTTATGTTTATTAATTATGTGCCTAAAAATTAATTTTAATTACGTTTGTGAAAAATATTAGTT